AATAAAAGAATAGTCATGAAAGTTCATATACTTTCACAATTAGTTGACATCTATTCCAGTAACATTGGAGTTGTACCAATGACCAACATATATAGATCATATTTAAATAAATATACATGTCATATTATTTGATAGGATTGCCTTAAAAACTATATGCACTTTTTCAAAATAAACCAACTTCATGTCGTTATTTCATAAATTGCCTTAAAAACTATTTGCACTTTTTCAAAATAAACCAACTTCATGGTTCTTGACTAATTTAAGGAAAGACACGTGTTGACAGTGATATATAATGATTAACAATTGCAACAATGTGCAATATATAATACTTCACTTTCATCATATACTAAACAAATGGATGTCATGGATACTTAAGACACAATTCATATAATAACATAATAGTTTCTCATGTGTGCACCATTTTTTTTTAATAGTTGCACAGAACCCTATCGAGCATAAAACATAAATCGGTGTTGAGTTTATGCAATTAGATTTTTTCATCCAATCTATTTAATACTTTGTTCATGCAAACAGAATAATGAAAAATATAAATGTACGAAAACAAAGTTCATTTTAAGATTGTTGGGGAATGCACCGATTCAAATGTGTATATTATATTCACAAAACGTAATTTACACGTTCACGAAATCGAAACAAGGTTTCGACTTACCGAAATGGAGTTTGAGAAACTAACCAATGATTATCGAATCTGACCATTTCCTTTCTTGAACTAAAACATGTGATTCTTCATATCGAACATTGCATAAACCATAAAAATAAAATTAATCATTTTCTGAAATCAAGTGTGAAGAAATGAAATCAGAAATAAAAAAAAAAATTAGATGCAAATGATGGGATTGGCCGAGACGAGTATAACTCTTTCCTTAAGATAAATTTGTCCCGAATCGGTGCTAATGGTTTTCCGATAATCATCTTCCAAGATACAATGACCACGTCAAACCATGGGAGCACTCTAAATGACTTCAACCAGTGAACTCGAACGAAATTCCCTTTCTACCATAACCATGATTTTGATGCAAAAGATAATCACTTCTACAAAATATTTTATGTATAGCAAAGTGTAAAATATGGAATGGAATGAAATTTCTGAATAAATAAATCCAAACATATGGGGTCAATATATTGATGATGAAAATGTTTGTCTCAAAATATACAACCTATGGAAGAGATACAACCATTGGAATTAGTCTTTATATTTAAAGACACACGTCTCTTGAAAAATGATAATGCCAAAAGTCGTAATCTTTCATATAGAAAGACATCTTTTCAATCAAATAATTTCTAGAATATTCCATAATAATTTACGCACTTTTTCAATAATTCATGTATTTAAGTAATTTAAATTTTCGCTTAATTTTCCATTTACCAAATAATACAAAATTTTTGGCAAAATTCCAACAAGCAATCCTACTGACTACGATGGCTGGAGAGGTCATGACAGAGTTCAAGCTTGCTTAGTTGCTTTCGAACTAAAATGTAGGAAGGTAATAGGGCTTGATGGATGTTTCTTGAAAGGTGATTTCGGGTGCCACATTTTGTCAGTTGGACCTTCAAAAGTGATAAGCAAAAGGGATTGGTGGATGCATCGGATATGTAGTGTTAAGAGGCGGAGCACCGTTTTGTGTTAGGCATTTACACAATAATATCAAGTTTAGTATTGAGGTTTAAAATTGAAGAACGCATTGTTGGGGCAGCTAAGGCGATGATTGAGGCCGAATGGGGGGAATAGATGGAAAAAATGAAGGCTGAGGATGTTGAGGCACAAAAATGCTCGGAGGAGAAGCCAACAGTGAAATGTTCACACTTCAGGGATTCAACCAAGTGTGACATATTGCGGAACAATTTGTGTCTTTCAATGCTGCGATAATTGGAAAGGACTTGCTACATGTATACTCTAGTGTACGTCCTTGGTTGGTGGACTTGTGCTAATATTATGTCATCCAATGTGTACACCTGAGTGTACAAGTAGAAAATCCAATTAAAAAATGGTGAAAACGACAAAATGAAGCATGACACAAATGTAGTACACACAACACTTTCCAACTCAAATTCATCATACATCTTTTGCAAACTCGTAAGTTACCTTCACTTAGAGATTGCATAACATGTATTCCTATCAAAACTAGCATTCATATGGAAGGTAGCAAACTTGCAAGATACCTTCACTTAAAACTGCATACGTAAACATTTGATAGTCATCATATCGAATTAGCATTATTTTCGATTACAAAGTGATTAACACTAGTGACTAAATGAGTCAAAAAATACTCCAATAGCGAATAGTATTACTTTAATTAACTATAGTGACTAAAATGAGTAAGAAGAATAATTTCAAGGACCAAATTGAATTTTCGCACAAACTTGAGTGACCGTTTCTGAAGTACTTCCTTTCTTTTCCTCATATAGTTGTCGAGACAACCATTTAAAAAATAAAAAATAAAAGAAAAAACATCAAAATTGAAATAAAATTGAATCAAGTTTGGAACAAAAAAGTTAGATGATCAAAATATAACTCTTTTTGAAGTTAGACGACCTTTAGTATTTTTTACCCCTTGAGAAAATTGAATTCAAAATGATGTAGGCTGCTGATGCTACCAAAAAATAGTACCTGAAAGATCTCGAGCCTAATGATTGAACTCCAAACTTGGGTGAGTTTAAGTTAAAACGAACGCTCTTTGAATACCTAAAACAAAGGCAACGAGGTGTATGCTCGTCGTCCCTCCAATGCTTAAGTCAGAAAGGGAATTTAGTATATGAGACTATAAATTGAAAAGAATGAAAGACGTACCTAAAAAATGAGTCCGGGTTATGTATTTATAGGTGTTGATGATAAGTCCTAACCATGTGTGATCCTTATCATCGTAGGATAAGGAGTTAGTGTTTCATTCCAGGTGTTCAGCCGTTGTTTGAGTCGAAGAAGGAGTCGAATAGGGTAAGGATTGTAGTTTAAGTAAAATTAGTGCACTCGTAGGTCGTTAAGGAGGACTGGCGAGTTGACATGCAAACCCGACCTTGATTTGGTAGTTTTGGGTGATGCCAAGGTTGGGGTTCATGTGAAGTGTTCGGGGTTCATGGATCGAGTTCGGGATTGCAAGATCTGGGGTCATCAGCTGCCAGTCAGATTTTAGATTATCGACAATGTTATTGTCTACATTTTGACAAAGATAATCTGTCGTAGTTTACTGCTTACTAATAAAGAAGCAGTCAAAGAAAGGCTCGGGGACTTTCAGTTTCTTGAAGCCATTCTCGAATATTCTTTTTAGGACAAGTATTGTTAGTTTCGAAACCCTTTCACCTGTCACTTTTTGGGCTATACTAATAACTAATGTTTCCTGCAAGTCCAGATTCAGCCCATTTCAAAGCTTGCAGGAGCTTCTCCATCACTTTCTCATTAAAAATTGCAGGACGTGGGAATCAAGAAATCGTGCGTGTTTTGAAACCATAAATTGGGAAAGATTCAATGAAATCTTTGTTGGATATTGGTTAAATAAATCGAGAATTGAAAATCGATTAAAGTGACTTTGTATCGACTTCGGCCAAATACTCAAAAACTTGACTCAATCCGTTTAGGCAAAATTGTTTGCCACTTCGCCGCTTCGGGGCGTACAAACGGGGATCGACCTGCCCGATCAGGTCGCGGGGATCGAGGGGGCAACGCCCCCGAAAAAGAATTTTGATTTTTCTCTGCATGTATTGAAGGGTATATTTGGCATTTCGAAAACCAATATCGGATAAATGAGAATTTACGAAAAAGGATGAAAATCAGTGAATAGACACCTTTTCATAAAGGTGCATTGTTTGGAAAGGGTGCATGGTTTGACCTCAACCATTTCGTCCACACCCTTTCATGGTCTATAAATAGGACCCTTTGGGTGTCCTATTCCTCACAATTTTGATATGCAAAACATCTCTCATCCTCTCTTCTATGTAAAATCAAAATCATTTCATTTATTTTGATTTTCCTTCATTTCATCATTGGAATACATAAGCCTAAATTTGGTTCATTGTACTTGTGTTTTGGAGTGCTACAAACACAAGTGTAGCCGTTGTATCTTGGGAGTCGATTGCCGAAATCCGTAGGCACCGTTGCGGGGCAAATTCGACTTAAGGACAAAAAATATAACTCTTGCCTCGACTTTGTCCCTACTTTCTTCTTCTTCTTGTTTGTGTTTTCTTTGCCGTCACTATTCACAAAATTCCTCCAACAATCTTCAGAAACTTGAAAGACAAGCATTGTTTTGCCAAACAATATATATTTCTCAATTTACCAATCCTTATATTTCTTGAACTTCTTAACTCACTACGTACACCGTATCTCAAGAACGAAAAATCATGACCTTCTTTTTTAATGTTCTTGTTTGCTTTTTGGATTCAAAGAGGGTTGCAGCGTGTGAACAAGATGAAGTTAGTAGTGCCCAAACCGAAGTGCAAGAGAAGAAAACAAAGAAGGCGAAAAGTGCAGCAATTCCAGTCTCTTACTTCCCTGTTGGAACAAGACTCTCTCTGTAATAAGTTGATTAATTTCAACTTTCAGAGATTAGCCAACTTCGTTCCAGCCTCTTTTACTTATAATTGATATGTGAATGAGTTGGGTTTCGGCTATTCTTTAAGATAATCAATTATTTTTTGTTTCATTCCAATGGAGAGCCTGTATCAGCAGAATTTTGGTCCATTTCTGATTTCTGAATAATACGAATATGTACTAGTGATTATTTTAATGACTGCACTACACAAGAACAAACCATGAACACGAAGATGTTGCCTATATTTAGAAGAATAAGACCCTCATGCACCCATATAGAAGAAACATAGATAGGGTAATAAACATAATGCATACACGAAAGAAATCGGACTACATATCCTCAAGAATACGAGACCAAAGCAACTGAATACTATCCAAACCCATAAAGAAAATATTCATTCTCCACACAGGATTCGAAGAGGGTTGCCCAGAGTTCTAAATTTTGAAGAGGCATATATGTACTACAATCTATTATACAAAATGCTGCATTTGCTATTTTAACACCTTCAGAAAATTTCACAGATGCTCCCAGTACAATTACATGACAGTTAATTTAACAGAAAACACAAGTCAATCACCAATTATTATTTTCTCCCCAAAACACTTCTTCGGGTGCAGCATAAAAAATGTCCATCAAACTCTATATTATTATTATATGAAGAGTTGCAATAATATTACAAGATATTCAGTTCGAGGTCTTGGCACCCAGCATCCTTGAGAGCTCCTTTACAAGAGGCTTTTCTTTAAAAGATTCTTCCCTTTCCAAATGCCATTTCTTCGTCATGTCTTCGGCCTGTGATTAGGTCATATTTAGTGTAAAAACAAAATTACAGATACTTTCAAGTTAAATATCCTGGCGTAAATATTGGGGTAACATACCCAAGTTCTCAAGGGACCTAGTTGCTCTCTAATCATTTCCATCCTTGGTTGAACAAAGTCCTTCCCCTTAGTCCGAATGTCATCAGCCTGCCAGAAAGAAAAGAATAATAAAAGGAAAACAAAAAACATGTCACGATAGAAAATAAACCAAGCTAAGTATAAGCTAGCAGAAACTATGACTTATGAGGAAATTATAAATTTGTTAATGTACATCACCGATCTAATCAACCCATTTTACATCTATGCCATCACCATCTTACAGATATACTTACATTATGCAACTCCAATTTGGATGCTACTAGCCCAAACATCAAGGTGGCACCGCCAAAGACAATAGCAGTAGCAACAGCAAATGCTGATCCAACTGCAATGTGAAGTGAAGACGGGAAATAAGCAATCATGAAGAAGAGTTTCACTAGATAAGGAAATCTGTTCAATTTCTGAAGATGATGATTCTACAAAGACTTGAATCATAAGAAATGGTGCAAAAGAGAAAATTATCATATGCCACCAACAGCAAAAAGTAGGATATAAGAGGAGCACGTCTAAGTGTGTGCTGAAATAATATATAATTTGATTTTCTAACTGAATGTCATATATTTATTAAGCGAACCTTGAGTTTTCTCAAGATTGCCCTCAAGGAACTTATTGACCATATAATTGTAGATAAAATGCGCTTTGTTCCATTACTAAATCCTTTCAAGAAACTGCTAACTAAAAATCACCGCTCTCTGAGCCCTAAATTTTTTCTGAACAAACAGATCAGAGAAATGAACCAAATGCATGCAGATTTAACTTTAAAATACAATGAGGAAGTTCTAGAACTTGCAGTCATTTCAATGTTTAGTTCTGTATTTGAGAATTGACAGAAGACAGAGAGAAATTAAGGGAAAGAATATAACTTTAGGCAAGAGGTTTAGCTTAAATGAAGCCATAAGCTGAGATTATATGATATAATAGAGTTGACATAATTTTTTGTCCCAATTAATCATGACATTACTTGATTAATTTGAAACCAACAAATCTTATATGATAAAAACCAAGTCCTACTTTGAGATAGCCCGGCTGCAGCAGCCTTCAGCTTTTCAGGGTTGATAGGGGTGTATTTGTCACTCCGCAAATCATTAGCAGTCGAGGCTAAAACCGAGTTCTCTGAATTAGGTAACTGCCACCTGAATATCACCAAAATCAACACAACAATTTTATAGAAGTTCTCCGATAAATCAACAATAAAATCATGTTCTCTTACATCAAGATGTACAAACACATTTCTAAAGTCATTATTAAGGCTATGAACTGCCTACTGCAGATAAAGAAACCACATTATCCCATTATTCAAACTCTTCGAGTCGAGACATTTGAAAACCAAACTAAACAAATTAGCAATCCTCGATAAATAAATATGCAGTCATTAATCCTACCACATGGCTATATGAGAGAGTTATTTATGAAAGGAAATTACCATAGCTACAGAAGAAATTATCAAGAAAATTAGCCAAATCTAGGAACTAAGCAATAATGATTTGTCACAATGACAAAATCGAATACTGTATTTACCTTAAAATTCCAAACCATGGTATTTTACATCCATCTGGTTACCAGTTCTTTTGACCAAAGAATAGACATATCGCCTCAATTGAAACCTAAAACTTTTTAATTTTCTGTTGGTTCGCTTGAATCCTAAACATAACAACTCAAACTGTAAACAGATTAAATGTATCTTAATACACAGATTCACGAAATCTTGATTTTTCCTATAGTCCCTATAATTACTCAAGGAACACACACACACACACACACACACACACACACACAAAATAAGCATATAATATTTTACTACGAGAATTGAAGCATGTAAACCCAAATTCCCAATCACAAATAACAGTGGAAACAATAAGATATTAAGAAGTACAGAATAGGGTAGAAAGGAAGAACCTTTTGGGGCCAAAAGTGACCTGGGGCAGGGAAACATAAGCCCTAAGGGGATTAAGAGCATCAGATGACACATTTGACACATTTTTGTTTTCAGAATGAAGAGCCCATTTGGAGGCCTTAGAAATGGAAGAATTTTCCGAGGACGATGATATTGGTGAAAGGAAAATCTTGGAAGGCAGTGAGTGCCTCAAAACTTCTGGAAGAACATCAGCTGTCGTTGACGGTTTAATGTTGTCAACGAGAACTGTATTTGTATTTGAATTTGCCGGTTTAATGATCGCAGAGGCGTTCTTTGGGTGTTGGAGGAGACGGGTCACGGCTTGTTTGGATTCTTGTAAGAAATAGGCGCCCTCTGTGCTTGCTAATCTTCCCGCAAGAAAACTCATTTCTTCTCTCTTTTGGTTTCTTTACGGTCATTGATGGGATGTTCATGTTTGTATGTAATTCTTGTAAAAATGGAAATCTGTTTTCTATTTGAGAAAATTGCATCATAGCTCCGTACAAATCGCTCAGATAAAAGTTGACTCCTAATATTTCATTTTAATTGTACCTTCAATCTTCAATAAGGAAAATTGTTAAATCCTCACTTTAGATTTTTAGTACCAACCCATGTCAAAAAAATTGTGTTCGTGAAATTAGACATATAAGAGCAACAAATTTTTTTTAGAATTACCAAAAATTTTAGGAACCATATTATTCACACATTGTATGAGGCTCAAGAAATGGTGGGTTTTGGTTCAAAATGTTTGGGAGTCTAAGAGCCTATTTGAGAGTGATTTTGAGAATTGATTTTTTGACTGTTAGGAGAAAAGTGGAATCTACCTATGAGAGAATAAGTCACATATGACAGCCGAAATAGTAAAATAACGATTAAAAAAATATTTTTTTTGGGGAAAAAATCACTCCTAAACAAGTTCTAAATTAAACATGTCATGATTTTTTCCATCTTGATTTAATGGAGACAGGCAAAGCTCACCCACTTAACCCTGATACTCGTCTTCTCCCAATTTGGAGGTTATTAAGTTAAGCTTCGCACACATCCATTTGGAAGATTTAACTTTTAAGGACACTCATTTGACACATTTTAAAAAGTCAAAAGCCACTTTAAGAATAAGAAACTATTTTTTATATATTTTAAGCTAAATAAACAAACATGAAGCATGTATTAAGTTGGAACAAATGAGATAATCATATCGTATCGAAATATATTCATTTGGTTCCAATTTAGTACCTACGCTAGAATTGAATCGTTAGTTCCATTTTTAGAATTGGGAATCTATCTAGATCTTTAGAGAACTGAGCTAGGCCACGTTCCACCCTAATTGTATAAATATAATAAAATATTAATTACCAAATCGCTCTTTTTAAAAAATTGAGGACTAACTTGTTACTCAAAATGATTGAGGACCATGGTACAATTTTCCCAATCAATTAATTAAGAAATAGAAGTGTTTGACAAATCATCCTTTTTGGAGTAATTCGCAAGAAATTTATAATTAATCAAACGTTCATGCATCAAAATTCAAGTATTCAAAGCCACATCCTCGGAGCCCAAGAATTTTGCTTCAATTGGACTTGGGGGTACATACTAGATATTTGGCAAAGTTTAAGAATAATGTTATTTAACATCAGTAGTACTAAAATATCAGTTTAGGTGAACATATTTAATAGGTTTAATTAAATAAATAATGTGATATTATATTTATCATCCAATATCATACAATCACAACCTAAAAGGGTGTTCAACACTATTGGTGCTGAATAACATTACTCATTTAAGTTTTATTTGATGGAAATTAAAATTAAAATTTCAATATAAATCAAAGTCTACAATTAATTTTAACTACACATTACATGAGGCCTCAAAGATGTAGGACAGCCCAAGCCTACCCAAGTCGCAAATGTTTTTAGTGGAAAAAAAAAAATGCATGTATCAACCCAATATTTAAAAAAAAAAATGTCCTCGGTACTATCTTGGTGAGATTCACAACTTTTCAATCATTATTTCATCAACTTTTATTCAAATATATTTAAAAACTGATTTTAATTCTCAATAAAGAAGGGCAAAGTGTATTTACCGTTAAATATTGACAATTTACCTTTTGCATGTTACTTATTAGTTTTTACCGGTTTGACAAAATATTTTATAAAAGTTTTGGCATATTTTTATAAAAGTTGGTATAAATAATGATTGAATAATCGATAAGAATTATAGTTTACAAGAAAACACTAATAGTAAGATCGGCGAGAATAAGGAAATAACCAAAATGAATTATTGAATCGAGTCCTTTAGTGAATCTGATTATTCTTGTCTTTGTTTGTGGTTTGGATTAGAACAAATTACTATAATGTGCTCCCAGACAGAGTGTTTCATGGGTTAGCTAGGCCCTTGATCCGCATAGACCAAGGGCGAACACTCATCGTTTACGACATGGACTACCAGGGTATCTAATCCGCTTCCCCATAAAATAATAATTAAAATTGAAGTTTGATTAATTGATAAAAAAAAAAATATATCAAAGCTCTATCAAACATAAAAGGGCATCAATGTCATGTAATTATGACCAAAGTTGGTCTCTGGGATCCATCCTTGGAATTGTAGAACTATTCTCAGAAGAGCCACATAAAACTAGTCCCACCGCACTACCATAACTTCAGGAAACTATTTACCCACTTATATCTTCTTTTTCTTTTTGGCCTTAGCGAATTATTTTACACATACCTTTTGTATCAGAACCATCATGTTAAAGAAGAATTTATTGTCGGTCCAAATGCCCATTATAATTTTTGGAACAACATTCAAAATCCAAAAAATCTGCAAATCTATACAAAAGTTACTTTCTTTAATGTTTCCCTTTCTTTCTCTTGTCAAACTATGCAAGAATTTCGTATAATGTAATATTCAACTTCAAGAAAACTCCAATGCCATTTTTTAATGGAAAATCCAAAGCTCATGGTCCTCTTCTTTCTCCTCATCCTCCTGCCCTCACCACTCTCCACAGGTAATGATCCCCCTTTCGATGATTTCATGTAAGGACGTTTAATCGAGCTTAAAAAGTGGTTTTATTTTATTTATTTATTTTCCCCCCCGCTTATGTCATGTTTTCTTGTACTTTCTTGCAGTGGTTAAGGTTGAACAAGGCAAAGATGAGCCATATGTGGGAGTGAACGTAGGCACAGATTTTTCCGACGTGCTTTCACCAGAAGAATTGGCTTCTTTTCTGCAGTTACAAAAGATAACACATGTAAGGCTGTACGATGCTGATGATAAAATTCTCAAGGCACTGGCAAAAACCCATATTAGAGTCATTATAAGCGTTCCCAACAACCAGCTTATTGCAATTGGGTCCTCCAACGCTACCGCCGCCGCCTGGATTGGCCGCAATGTGGCGGCGTACTACCCGGAAACACTCATCACCGCCTTGGCAGTGGGTGATGAGATCTTGAGCACTATTCCAAGTTCAGCTCCTTTGCTTATGCCAGCAATTGAGTCTCTCTATAGTGCTTTAGTGGCTGCAAATTTGCATACCCAAATCAAGATTTCAAGTCCCAATTCTTTTTCCATTGTTCTTGACTCATTTCCACCTTCCCAAGCACATTTTAATCAAACTTTAAGCCCTGTTATTTCCCAGTTGTTGAAGTTTTTGTCAAGAACCCAATCACCTCTGATGATGAACTTGTACCCTTACTATGTGTTTATGCAGAATAATGGGGTTGTACCTTTGGATAATTCTTTATTCAAACCCTTAACACCCACTAAAGAAATGGTTGATTCCAATACTTTGCTGCATTACACGAATGTTCTCGATGCCATGATTGATTCTGTGTATTTTTCTATGAAGAATCTTAATGTCACTGATGTAGGGGTACTTGTTACTGAAACTGGGTGGCCAACAAAGGGAGATTCAAAGGAGCCTTATGCAACAATTGATAATTCAAATACGTATAACTCGAATTTGATTAAGCACATTCTTGATCGAAGTGGAACGCCGTTGCACCCTGAACTCACTTCTAGTGTGTACCTTTATGAATTGTTCAATGAGGACTTGAGGTCTCCTCCTATCTCGGAGGCACATTGGGGGCTTTTTTATGGGAATTCGACCCCTGTTTACTTGCTTCATGTGTTGGGGAGTGGCTCATTCTTGGCAAATGATACCACGAATCAAACTTATTGTATAGCAACCAATGGGACTGATACAAAGATGTTGCAGACAGCGTTGGATTGGGCATGTGGACCGGGGAGGGCAAATTGTGAAGAGATCCAGGCAGGGGGAAATTGTTATCAACCTAATAATGTGAATAATCATGCTTCTTATGCATTTGATAGCTATTATCAGAAAGAAAAGAAGGCTCCTGGTTCTTGTGACTTTAAGGGTGCAGCCATGATCACTACAACTGATCCAAGTAAACTCTTTGCTTGATGATCATACTAGGTTGCAACACCATTAATTTATCTCCACATGTGCTTTTTGGCACGTTTTATTTACAATTAGTTGGATACATAATTTAAATAAATTTTGTCCTATCTCTGATCTATTAGAGCATGCATACTTATTGCTTTAAAATTATATACTTTGCGATGAAAAATTATACCTAGCAATTTGTGGCTTCAATTGTTTTGTGCACATTCTGCAGTCTAAAGTATGTCTTCCTTTATGGCTATATTTGCAGGTCACGGGAATTGTATATTTCCTGGAAGGTAAGCAATATTTCTGTGCTTTATTGGTACTCTGTTGTCCTCATCTTTCTCATTTCCCAATGATATATGGTTTTAGTAAATACTCATATAATGTAATAACTAATAATCATTGGTATAAAAAAGGACCGACCCCTTATCTTTTCAGGGTTAATGCCGGGATGGTTTTTAAAACATTGGGAAGAAAAGTTCGACTTATCAATCTTATTTAGCTAGTGAGTTTGTTCTGATAACGAAAATATAATAATTGATGCAGCAAAAAGGTAAGCAAAAAGACGAGGCAGGTAGTGAACTCGACACGAGCAAGTGGTGCAGGCACTGTGAGATTCTTCGGCATTCCAATAAGTTCCTTCAATAAGGATATACATATGGTGTTCTATTGTGTTGTTTTTTGTTGGTTTAGCTTATTCCTTTCATGAAAAGAATTGAAGGTACAACTGAATAATTTAAGCTTTTGTTAGACAAAGTATCCACTGATTTATAGTGCATTTGTTTGTTATGTTGTACTTTATGAATGACTGAAAGTTGCTGGGATCATACTGTTCTAAAGAAAACAAAGAGAAAAAGTTGAGGTTCCCTATGCTTATTAGCTAGTAGAGATGAATGAAGTTTTACTCCCATCTTTTAGAAAAAGTAAAACTTCCCCTTTTTGTCATTTTTATGCTTCCTTTTTTGGGTCTAAATCGAGCTGTTAATGAAGAAAGTCTATCATATGATTGAATACCACGAAATTAAGGGCGTGTTCTCTTTGCCGTTTTCTGTTTTCGATTTTTGAAAACGGTGAAAATACGTTCTCTTTCCTGTTTTCGAAAACGAAAAAAAAAATTGTGAAGAAAATACAAAACGACATTTTGTCGTTTTGGGAAACGGCCTTCTCCTCAACCTTTCTCTCTCCTCAACTGCCAGTGTTATTGTCACAAATCACCACCTTCCGGCTGCCAAAACCATCGAATCCAACCACCATCAGCCTCGCTCCATTCCCCTCTACAATCTCCAACCAACCACCAGCCAAAAATCAACAGGAAGCAGCAAAAAATCCAGCCCAAAAAACAAATGTCGCACACCTCTTTTCTACAGAAATCTCCACCTCCAGCGACACCCAAGGTCGCGCACCACCAGCGGTCAATTGCCTACCACAAATCGACCCCAACCATGGCCCCAATTTACCACAAAGAACAATTCAATAATCTGAATTAAACCCGAAAACAAACCAGTCGCGAAGCCCATTCAACGGAATTCGAATGTTGCAGATTTCGGAGCCGTCCAGTCGACCCATGGTTGTGGACCACATGGATTGAACTCCTCTTTACCTGGCGCACTTTGTCCAGCCATGGGTCAACCCCAATTTTGCCCAAAACTTGACGAATTTTGCCAGCCATGGGTCAATTGTTTTGGCCAATTTCGTCCAGAATCTTGTCCAGCCATGGGTCAATTGTTTTGGCTAAGTGGGGCTCTGCCACTAGGGAGAGGTGATGGGGTTCTAGTGATGTTGGGATCTGGTGGTCTATGTGGTGGTTGATGGTCGATTTGCGAGGTAGAAGATGACGGTTGGAGGGGGTGAAAATATCCTTGGCTGGAGAAGAGAAAATGAATGGAAAAAAAAGAACGCGATTTCAATTTTCATGTTTTAAGAAACATTTTTTCAAAATGACAAAAAGAACATGTTTTCAACAATTTCAAAACAGACACTCAAAATACAAAACCCAAAATGAATTTCAAAACTCAAAACTAAAAATTTAAACACGAAGAGAACAGCCCCTAAAAGTTCGAGAGGTTGGAGAAGGACGAACTTATTTATTCAGAAGGATAAATAGCACAAAACGGCCTTACCTTTTAATATTATTGTGTAAAACGTCGACACCTTTTAATTTTTTGGCAATTTCACTTCTACTTTCACATTTTATTGCAGAAATCATCATTTTCATCCCATTTCTCAATAAAAATAATGTAAAATGACAAATTTATCTTCCTATTTAAATAAAAATAAAAAAGAAAACATTTTAAAAAGTACAAATGAGTCCAAATAAATTATTAAAAAGGTAGTTAGTACAAAATATTCCTATCTTTTAATATTATTGTACAAAATGTACATACATTTTATTTTTTTGACATTTTCACCCTTATTTTCACATTTAATTGTGGAAATCATCATTTTAATCCATTTTCTTAATTAAAAGTTGTAAAAGGATAAATATGCCCCTTTCTTTAAATAAAACAAAAACAAAGAAAAGAAAAATAAAGAACAAATTACAACTATACTTTCAAAGCTTTCAAAAAAGTACAAATAAACTTTAAATAAATAATTAAAAATGAAAATACTTTTTAAAAATTTGGGAGTGTAGTTGCAAACTTTTTCTTTATTTCTATTTTATTTAAAGTGAATGATATATTTGTTTTTTTACAGCTTTTAATTTAAAAAATGGATAAAAATAATGATTTTCACAATGAAATGTGGAAATAATAGCAAAGTAAGAGATATGAATGTTTTGTATAATAATATTGAAAAATATGGATCATTTGCGTTAATTATTCTTTTAATAATTTATTTGGACTCATTTACACTTTTTAAAATAGTTTGGGAGTGTGATTGCAATTTGTTCTTTAAATTTTTTATTTTTATTTTTATTTAAATGGGAGGGTATATTTGTCATTTTATCTTTTTTGTTGAAAAATTGGATGAAAATAATGATTGTCGCAATAAAATATGAAAGTAGGGGCGAAAATACCAAAAAAATGAAATATATGGACGTTTTTTACAATAAAATTGAAAGGTAATGACGTTCTGTGCTAATTACTCTACTAAGAATGCAAATCATGCCAGATTTGGTTTCTCTTTCAATTTACAATAAACAAAATTGATCGATTCATGTAAGGTGTTCCATTTTAAAACATCATGATTGTTAAGAAATGTGGTTCAGTCCAAGCAATGTGGAATTTAACACATAACATACCTGGCAAGATGGAGGTTCATATGAGAACACCAATCCTCCCATTGAATCAAATTGATAACTTGAACTTTATGGAATTCAATGTCATATTGATTCTCGAGAATCCACATTAATCAGTCATCTTTGTTACGAAAAATAGCCTCAGCATTTAGCAGATGAAGATACCTTGATCGTTTGATAATGTTGATTGTACATAATTATGAGTACGTTTTCACCATAAAGGGGGAAGAATAAGGAAGATTTGCAAGATAAAACTTAAATGAGTTTAATTCAATTTGGAATTTTAATTTCTCGTTACCAGTTGAGTTTTGCTTTAGGCCAGAATTAGGTTGATCATCAAGATTGACATTCCAGACTCACTCTCAGTGAAAGATTACTGAAAGAAACAAATCAAAATATAGAAACTAAAAACTAACCTCGAGTGTGCTAAACACTAGTTTCTTTTGGCTTGCGACAACTGATGGCTCTTCGGAGCAATACCATTTTTGGCACATTTGCAGTTGACCTGTAATCCCAACACAGGTTTTAGATGATCGCTTTCCTGAACGAACTCAAAGTTTACTGATTTTCAGCGTCTATATAATCTTTCCCTCGTACACTAATATTCTCATTCACAGTTCTCTCCAACACTAAAAATGGCATCCAAGATTCTCCTTTTGGCTGTCATTTCTGCATTTGCTTGCACTATCAGTGCAAGGACCCTTTCAATGGAGAAGAAAGCAGCGGATGAGCAGACGACATTCTTTCACCAACACTTTCCTCCTTATCGTGGGGCTTTTGGTGGTAGGTTCAGGGCTGGCAGAGGAGCTGGCATGGGGGGTGTGGGAGCAGGGTTTGGTGGAGGGTCTGGCTTCGGTGCTGGTTCTGGTGCTGGTGACCTTGGCAAAGGATTAGGTGGTGGATTAGGCAACGGGGCTGGAGCCGGAGGAAGTGGGATTGGGTCCAGTGGCAATGGAGGAACTGGTGGAGGGTTTGGTGGTGGCGGAGGGATGGATACTGGATTTGGTGGAGGAGCTGATGGAGGATTTGGAGGTAGACTGCTCTGAGCTCCCATTGTAGTCCCCATGCAAGGTGCATCCCATCTGCAGTTATTTATAAGATGCTGATAAAGCCTATTGAGAAATAATTAGCTAATATTTGTTTTTAGTTTAATTCCTATCTGAAAAAGAATTCCAATACAGAAACGTTGTCGCGATGGTTTTCATATATGAAATCAGTTGTTATCCATTTTTTCTTATAGTAGAACATGTCGGTTTTCATTTGAGATTTAAATGCCAAAAATAAATAAATAGAAATCCAAATGCTATTTTGAGTATAAAAAGGAGTTGTATTACCAAGAATAACATCTTTTTTTTCCACATGGACTAGAAGTCTGTGCAAACCATTTTCCATCTACTTTGACGTGAATTTACAACATCATACCCTTGGCCACTGTGGACTCACAACCAGCAATGACAACGAGAGAACAAGACCTTCAAATCGAATTCCCCATGAATATGAATATGGTGAAATGACTACATTCAATATTGATCTTCATTACAATGAAATCATGCTTGTAACAATGGTGATATTGTGGTTTACAATACTTAATATTATAGCATATTTAGTGAGGTAGATTGTGACAACAACAAAGTTTCTAGAATTTATCTATCGTATCGTACAGTATTGAGTTTGACATTCCAGACTCACTCTCAGTGAAAGATTACTGAAAGAAACAAATCAAAATATAGAAACTAAAAACTAACCTCGAGTGTGCTAAACACTAGTTTCTTTTGGCTTGCGACAACTGATGGCTCTTCGGAGCAACCCACCATCACCAGTTGCTCAAGTTGAAGAGTCTTCACGGGAAGCCTTAATTTTCTGTATGGAATAACGAGTTAAGTTCAAAACCACACACTAAATTTATTCAACTAAAATATAAGATCATGAAAATAATCCATTGCCAAACGTAGCAAGGTTTTTGTTTGCCCTCAAAACAGTAGCTTTCTTTGTTATCGGCTTGCTATGCTTGAACCTAGAAACTAATGACGGAGATGGTGGGTAAAAAGGGACAAATACATTTTAGGGTTTTTTTGGGTCAACTGTAAAAGTGGAGAGAGAAGGCCCTATTTTGTTGCATACAGACCCAAACATCATTTTTTTCCAGCTCGTTCTTCAATTTCTTCAAATAGCGACATTATTGTATAAAAGTTGCTACATGTATAACACCATACATATCAATTTTGACAGCTCACTCACTTATAAGAGGTGGGGCCCACGATTATTTTAATCGCGAGCCCCACCTATGTGAGAAGGCTGTAAAAATTTACAGCATTTCTGTTGTTGTATTGCATCAATAAAGCAGTCAACATGCCATGTCACCTTTTTTAAAACCTTTTTTTTTATTTTTTTTATTTTACCTTGTTTACAAGTCCTTTTCAATAGCTTTATTGAAAGAATTATTCATTTTTAACAGCCAATTTAGCTTTCGGTCCTCCACGTGGAAAGAATCACAAACGAAATCCATCCAGTGGCCATTTTAGTAAGATGGACCTAAGTTTGGTGGCCACTGGGAAGCATCTATAAGTTCAGTGGGGAAGTTGTGACGTTGTGTAAAGTACAATGGCCAATGAAACAATTAACACCCAAATTTCCTTCGTACGATTTCACTCATCAAAGTCTTCTTCGATCGTAATACCCTAAACCCATCTCCAGCATCAAATCCTCACCTTTTCAATGATTCAGTTATTGTTTACTCTGATTTTCACCGAAATGGCGTTGATCGTGACCTTCGTGTTCAAGACGCCATTCAGGAAGCTGGTGATAATGTGCATAGATCGGGTCAAGCGGGGCCGCGGCCCAATCGTGGTGAAGACTGTTGCCGCTACAGTCTTCGTGGTGATGATGTCCAATTTGTACAATGTGGTGGCTATCCACAGGCATTGGATGGAAGATGGTGATATTAACCCCACTGAACAGATTCTCTTGGCTAAGCACCTCCTCGAAGCTTCGCTCATGGGTATGGTAATCATCTAGTGTAAAATCTTAACTTGTTAGAAAGGAGTGATGACCATTTAAATCGCTTCTCAACACTTCGGTACACTTACAGACTGGATTTAATTTTTTATCGAACGTTTGAGTGCTCAATTTCTGATGAATGAGCGGTGATAAGATTTCAGCCAGATCTTTTTGCCTTAACTCGGTACCACGTCAATCGTCTATTTTGAAATTTTAAACTTTAGTCTAGTTTCGCGTGTATTTCTTTCAATTTTGTCTTCCAACGGGCTATTTATCGCAAGAATTCTCCTTTTAAAAAAAATAAAAATAAAATAAAAGGCTGAAAATTTTGCTGAGAATTTGTGATGTGGAGTCTTTTTAAAACAAAAAATAAAAAATAAATCACTGCAGTGTTCTTCATTAGTTAGACACAAGCTACATATCCATTGTTTTGTGCTAGTACCTGTATTTGTTAAAATGGTCCACATTAATAAAATTGCCTTGTGTCTTGATAGTACCGATTAAATAAATATATGATAATGTCTTGAAGTATTTTGAGGAATATAGCATAATGTAACTGTAAAATCTGTGTGATTTTTGGGTTGTGGACCGTTATACTCTTCTTCATTTCTGTTGACTAGTATATGTGTATTTTGGTGCTAATTGCAACGAGCATTGTGTTGAAAACACATACAGAATGCCCGACATTTTTTGCAATAATAATATCTAAGTTTATTTCCAGTTACAATCTTCTCATCTTCAAAGGATTTTGGTTTATGAATATTCAGTCCTTTTCACTTGATGCCGGAAATATTGGCTCAAAGTATTTTGTCGGCTGCCTAATTCCTGATACAAAGCAGCAAATAATCGAGAAAGCCTGAATCTTAGAGTATGAGAATGATTTATATAGATAATATTCCCCAACACCAATCGATTCATGCTCCAAATTATGCTCAGAACACACATTTCAGAAACTTTTTGAACTTCCATACTTCATTTGCCTTTAACACGCAGATCATTCTTTAATGGCCTAACTACTGTCACATGTCGGACCCTTAATGCCAATCCTGATTTCAAAAGCGAACCTCAGTGTCTAGATTTCACTTTGAGAAGGAAAATTTCCATCTAATCAATGTGGGAGCTGAGAATGAAGGCTTTCATTTCTGTGTTCCGTCCCAATTCTTTAGTTAACCATTGTTTTCACAATATTATTTGATCGTATACCTGGAAAGAGGGAAAAATATGTTCTATAAAGTACATGATTACAATCTCGTTTATAAAAATTAAACAATTAACATCTGAGCTTGAACTTGATGCCACTTTAGTCTGAAATATGCACATATATTTCATGGCTGACCTTTTCTATAAAATATTGCTTTTCCACTGTGATATTTATTTACATTGACACTTTCCTGAAGTTCTAGACTCGGGAACTTTTCAAAAATTGGCACTCCGGAGCCTTATTTTGTAACTTCAAGGAATACCTTACAAAATGATGCATTTTACCAAACTTTTTGGGCAGGTTCCCTGCCATCCAAGTTGTCTTTCTGCCTAAATTAACTTCGCCTGAAGTGCTCATGTTACTTTGTAGTCTGCTTGTAATAATGTATTGACTTGTAGATTGATTACTCTTAGATGTCATGCAATGTACCTCAAGCTGATGTGGACCAAGACATCAATGTCAAACATTTTGCAGAATGATTCATCGAACTGCTGAGAATTATTTTGTGAAGTTTTATAGGAGATGTTTCTTGCAATCTCAGCCTTTTCTTCACTCTAGTTTTCAACTATCATCTTATTTTGTCATATGAGCCTCACATTGCGTCTTTATTCCCTCCCTAGTTATAAAAATGATATACAATGGAGAATTCCGAACCAGTTAAGCCCTTGCTTGACATCCTTTATTTCAAAATTCTTGTTTTTACATACTCATTTTCAATCACGTTCACACAATAAAATGTTCTACATATAAATCCAAAACTTTTTCCTACTTTTTAATCACAAATTCTCCAAAAATTCACTATTCAAAACTTTGTTTTTGTCAATTAATAGCCATCAAATAGGGGCTAAATGGTTCTACTCATGCACGGGACACATTTTATTTGTTCGTATTGTCATCTGATTTTAAGATGATGCCACTTTGATTATTATCATCATTATTTATTAACAAACATAAATTCGTCATGTAATGCCAATTAAAACTCTTCATAATAGTTACCAGAATTTGGAAGGTGGAGTTTGATATGGCGTCTCCATTTTGAAGAAATTTATGATATTTCCTGCAATAAAGGCCATGGTCAATGGTCACATTTAAAGCGTTGTCTCTTGCTTCAACATTTTTTGATTGCAGGTTTACAGTCAGTTCTTTTGATGATATCATGTTTAATTGAATTAAATTTCACGCAGGATTTTCTCTATTCCTTGCATTCATGATCGACAAGTTACATCATTATATCCGAGAACTTCGCATAAGGAGGAAGACCATGGAAGCTGCAAAGAAACAAAACCAACCTTTTGAGGATGGCAAGACTCCAGTTTCTGAAGAAATAAAAGCCTTGGAAGAAGAGATGGCCCCATTGCGGGCAAGGATCAAGCAGCTTCAGTCAGAACTTGAGGAAAAGACTGAAGAGGCAAGCAATGCAGAAGCCCATGTTCTAGCTTTGAAAAAACAATCAGAGGGTTTTCTTATGGAATACGATCACTTGCTTGAGGAAAACCAGAGCCTTCGAAGCCAACTACAATCACTGGATCGGTAATTTTCACATTCTGATAGCAAGAAGGCTATGTAAGGGACGACTTACCTGTGGTTTTTTATTTTCGTTTTGTGAGCTTGTGGTTTTCATGCTGTTTATAGCATACTTTTCACGGATGAAGTTGGTGTTCAATGAATTGGAAGCGGATTAGGCATTGGAATTTGAGATGAAAATTTCATTTGGGTCTGGAAGTCAACATATTATCTAACCCAAACGACTATGTTACTAATGACTTGCTTAAAGAAAATTAGGCACTTATAAGATCCCACATGCAATTATGTGGAGGAGTTTTTCAAAATTAAACTTGATAAAGCCATATTTGAGATCAGTTATGTCCTGAGAAAGATTTGAATGAATTAGCTATATTGCCTATTGAGCATGAGATAAAGTAGATAGTGATTTGATCAATAATCTTGCATTTCAAAAGGCAAGTGAAACGCAATGGTTGTTGGTAGAGAAGTGTTCTTGGTCTTCTCCTAATATAATGGGAAAATTGTAGCAATGGTCTTTAATCTTTTCATTTTTTGCGGACTTTATCCTAACTTTCATGTTGTGCCAGCGAATGTTCCTAATCTTTCATAAATATGCACTTGAGGTCTATCTGGACGGAAACTATTCATTATCAATTGATTGGGAAAATCAAGGAATCAACTTCCAATAAAACCTTCTAAAACACCCTCCAAAAATATCATCCAAAAAGGTATCAATATTTAATAAAATCATTGCTGTAGTAGATAGTTCAAGGAATTTTTTCGATTAACTGACTGTATTTTGGACAGTTTTTATCTAAATGGATTTGGGTGTATATTTATGAAAGGTTAGGGACCTTCATTAGCACAAAATGAAGGTTATGATAAAGTCTACAAAAAACGAAAAGGTTAGGAACCGCTGCTGCAATTTTTCCTAATATAAATCTTGTACAAGTGTTCTTGAGCCATGAATGTACCAACTTTCCTCCCTGTCACCGACATTCCTTGTATCTGAAGGAAAAACTAGTATTACTTTCATTGTCGTTTTGTTCTTTTTTTTGTTGATTGTAATATTATATTGTTTAGTTTTTTCAAATAATATGTTTTGTTTCTCAAATATTGTATTTTTAGTAAGATATTTACGTTCTTGTTAAGAGTTCATCAATTGTACTTGAAATTTTATTGTGTGCGTGGATGTGGTATTTTTTTATTATTATTTTTTTTTTCATTTTTTAGCGGAATAATATTAATGTACTATAAGTATTAATTGTATTTGTACAAAAACAAGCAGCGTTCTTAAATTGGCACCTCGAAAAAGTATTGTCTAAAGTCTCCAACTTGTTTCAGTTGCCTCCGTGCTACACAAGCACTACTAACTGTTATTTTGTTAATATTTTATAGTATCCATTATATGAATTATTTGACGTTATTCGCTTAAAGAAAATTAGGCACTTATAAGATCCCACATGCAATTATGTGGAGGAGTTTTTCAAAATTAAACTTGATAAAGCCATATTTGAGATCAGTTATGTCCTGAGAAAGATTTGAATGAATTAGCTATATTGCCTATTGAGCATGAGATAAAGTAGATAGTGATTTGATCAATAATCTTGCATTTCAAAAGGCAAGTGAAACGCAATGGTTGTTGGTAGAGAAGTGTTCTTGGTCTTCTCCTAATATAATGGGAAAATTGTAGCAATGGTCTTTAATCTTTTCATTTTTTGCGGACTTTATCCTAACTTTCATGTTGTGCCAGCGAATGTTCCTAATCTTTCATAAATATGCACTTGAGGTCTATCTGGACGGAAACTATTCATTATCAATTGATTGGGAAAATCAAGGAATCAACTTCCAATAAAACCTTCTAAAACAGCCTCCAAAAATATTATCCAAAAAGGTATCAATATCTAATAAAATCATCGCTGTAGTAGATAGTTCAAGGAATTTTTTCGATTAACTGACTGTATTTTGGACAGTTTTTATCTAAATAGATTTGGGTGTATATTTATGAAAGGTTAGGGACCTTCATTAGCACAAAATGAAGGTTATGATAAAGTCTACAAAAAACGAAAAGGTTAGGAACCGCTGCTGCAATTTTCCCTAATATAAATCTTGTACAAGTGTTCTTGAACCATGAATGTACCAACTTTCCTCCCTGTCACCGACATTCCTTGTATCTGAAGGAAAAACTAGTATTACTTTCATTGTCGTTTTGTTCTTTTCTTTGTTGATTGTAATATTATATTGTTTAGTTTTTTCAAATAATATGTTTTGTTTCTCAAATATTGTATTTTTAGTAAGATATTTACGTTCTTGTTAAGAGTTCATCAATTGTACTTGAAATTTTATTGTGTGCGTGGATGTGGTATTTTTTTATTATTATTTTTTTTTTCATTTTTTAGCGGAATAATATTAATGTACTATAAGTATTAATTGTATTTGTACAAAAACAAGCAGCGTTCTTAAATTGGCACCTCGAAAAAGTATTGTCTAAAGTCTCCAACTTGTTTCAGTTGCCTCCGTGCTACACAAGCACTACTAACTGTTATTTTGTTAATATTTTATAGTATCCATTATATGAATTATTTGACGTTATTCGCTAAGGGTCCGTTTGATTGTAAGAGTGAAATTTGGGTGAAAAGAAAACCAATTTTAGGGAATTGAATTATCTAAAACTTGTTTTCCTGAAAATTATCAATTAAATGTATTTGATTGGTATAATTTTCTACCTAAAAAATATTAAAATTTTGGATATTTTGGCGTTCGTTTGATTTTGTTTTTCTTGAAAATTGTTAATTAAAGGGATATAATTTTTTACAATTGTAGATAAAATTTGTTCTCATTGCGGAAAAATAAAGTTGAAATACCAATTCTCACCGTTTTGGTGAGAATTGGTTTTCCACCAATTTATGGAAAATGAACCTGTGGGGAAAAAGGTGAAAATGGAATTTCCTAGAAAATGTTGCAATCAAATAAGCCATTTTGGTGGAAAATGTCGTCAATCAAACAGGCCGTAAGTTGAATTATACTAGCCCAAGTAAAATAACCGAAGCAAGGTAGATATCAATAACAGATACACCAGGTGATGTCTTCTCTAAACTTATATTTAGGGAATGTGGTTAAAAAGTAAGGAAAACATTTTGAGTTTATGTGTAGAATGTTTTATTGTGTGAATACGTAGTTGAAAATGAGTATGTAGAAAAAAGAATTTTCAAATAAATTCCATCAAACAGGGGCTTATCAGTCAATTTGTTGTACTTCGAATTTGATGTCCTGATTTATTTGTTGGATGTGTCTGGTGAGAGCTACGGACTTATCATTTGCACGTGTAAAGCTATTTGTATACCTTTATTTACATCGTTCTTTACATAATGCTAAGTTCACAATTCCTCATTGGCTGTGACAATTTGTTTTTTGTGCAACAACCAATGAGAAATTGCCCACTGTATACAAAAGTGTAAATAAAAGTCTGTTGGGTAAACATTCTTTCAAAAAAAAATATATATTTCTAATACTTATTTTTAACCACACATTTTCACAATAAAATATTCCTTATTTAAATTCAAAACTTTTAGTTAAAAATTAACTAATCCTTTTCCAAAAAATTAATATTTAAAAACTCATTATTCCCAAAAAATTGCTGTCAACGGGGTGTAAACAACAATACTTTAAACCCCATCATGCTACATTCATATTATAATACTGAGCAAATATTTAGAAATCCTTCTTCAGATTTGATTGCAAGAGTTAAATTTGGGTGAAAAGAAAACGAATTTTAGGGAATTGAATTATCTAAAACTTGTTTTCCTGAAAATTATCAATTAAGCCCCTGTTTGACCCCCATTTTTGGTAATGAAAATGAGAGAAATAGTATTTTGTTGAAAAAATGAGTGGTTGAAAAAGAAAGAAAAATTTTCGATTTACGTGTAATATTATTTTATGAAAGAGTATGTGGTTGAAAATAGAAGAGAGAAAAATATAATGTAATAAAATGTAATTTAATGGGGATCAAACATGGGCTAAATGTGTTTGATTGGTATAATTTTCTACCTAAAAAATATTAAAATTTTGGATATTTTGGTGTTCGTTTGATTTTGTTTTTCATGAAAATTGTTAATTAAAGGGATATAATTTTTTACAATTGTTGATAAAATTTGTTCTCGTTGCGGAAAAATAAAGTTGAAAAACCAATTCTCACCGTTTTGGTGAGAATTGGTTTTCCACCAATTTATGAAAATGAACCTGTGGGGAAAAAGGTGAAAATGGAATTTCCTAGAAAATGTTGCAATCAAATAAGCCATTTTGGTGGAAAATGTCGCCAATCAAACAGGCCGTAAGTTGAATTATACTAGCCCAAGTAGAATAACCGAAGCAAGGTAGATATCAATAACAGCTACACCAGGTGATGTCTTCTTTAAACTTATATTTAGGGAATATGGTTAAAAAGTAAGGAAAACATTTTGAGTTTATGTGTAGAATGTTTTATTGTGTGAATGTGTGGTTGAAAATGAGTATGTAGAAAAAAGAATTTTTAAATAAATTCCATCAAACAGGGCTTATCAGTCAATTTGTTTTACTTCGAATTTGATGTCCAGATTTATTTGTTGGATGTGTCTGGTGAGAGCTACAGGCTTATCATTTGTACGTGTAAAGCTATTTGTACCCCTTTATTTACATCATTCTTTACATAATGCTAAGTTCACAATTCCTCATTGGCTGTGACAATTTGTATTTTGTGCAACAACCAATGAGAAATTGCCTACTGTATACAAAAGCGTAAATATAAGTATGTTGGGTAAACATTCTTTCAAAAAAAAAAAAATTTCTAATACTTATTTTTAACCACACATTTTCACAATAAAATATTCCTTATTTAAATTCAAAACTTTTAATTAAAAATTAACTACTCATTTTCCAAAAAATTAATATTTAAAAACTCATTATTCCCAAAAAATTGCTGTCAATGGGGTGTAAACAACAATACTTTAAACCCCATCATGCTACATTCATATTATAATACTGAGCAAATATTTAGAAATCCTTCTTCAGTCCAAGGCCAACAACTTGAAATTAACCGTCTAAACTGTTGAAAAAATTGGGTGATTTGTACATAGATTTATTTTCAATTAACACAATGAAATAACAAATACAATTCAAGAATAATATAGCATAAAATATAGAAGAGATTTAGAAAGCAAGTCTTGGGAGTCA